CTCTCTCTCTCTCTCTCTCTCTCTCTCTCTCTCTCTCTCTCTCTCTCTCTCTCTCTCTCTCCCTCCCCCTTGCTGTCTTGCTCTTTCATGGTGTGACCGACAAGTAAGCCATTCTTCCTCTCTCTCTCTTGCTCTCTCTTGCTCTTTGTCTTGCTCTTTTTCTTGGTCTCTTGCTGTTTCTCTCTCCTGCTTTCTGTCTCTCTCACCCTGTCACCTTCATGCATGCGGCACAAGGGCAACGTCTGGACGAATTAAAATGATGTGATCGTAGTTGCTTCTCTCTCTCTCTCTCTCACTCTTTCACGGACAGACACGCACGAAAGATGGACAATGTTTCACTGTGGCACGATTTGACACTGTCACAAGCATGCACAGACAGACAATGTTTCACTGGGGCACAATTTTTCAAAAGACACATTAACGGACATCACCTTCCTTCACATTTGTACATCTGCTTTGTGCCTGCTTTGTGCCTGCTTTCTCGTTTTTAATTACTGCAGTGGGAAAAAACTAACTGGTTAAAAGTAATTCTATCAGATACCCAAGGGGAATTGGATGTCTGCTAGATGAAAGCAATTCCCTCTCCCCCACCCCCAAGAAAAAAAAGCAACAATTCGACAGAAGACGCTCTGGTCCCCACTGGTAGGTAGCGCACCAACCATGCGCAATGGTCCTACCCGCCAACCTGTGAACGCATTGGCCCTTTTTTTTGTCAGACACACTGGCTGCAGAGGGGGTTACCTCTCATTTCCCGCCATTACGTGGTGGGTTGTTCACCTCATGGCACAGTGCCAATCTCTGCACCCAGCCAGCGCTTTTCCTTCCCTTGTTTGTCCCCGCGCTGGTCTGCTCTTCGATGCGCTGGCTATGGTGTTCTTCTTTGTCCCTGCGTATGTGTGGTTTTCGATTGCACTGGCTATGGAGTTTTTTTTTGTCCCCGCGCTCGTCTGGTCTCGTCTGGTCTTCGATTGTGCTGGCTATGGTGGCGCACCAAGAACCTCGCTTCCGTAACACGCAAGTTGTGTTCTTCTTTCTTGTCCTCTCCTCGTTTTCGATGCGAGAACTCCTCTCCACTCCCCCTCCCCGTGAACTAAAAGGGCCTCGCCACACCACTATCGAAGCGAAAAAGTTATGGGTGCATCTTCCTGCAGAGAATGGCAAGATGCATCGCTTACCACAAATAGCAACGGCTGCATCTTACCACTTTCTGAAGTACATGCATTCGTTCGTTCCTTTTTCGTATCGACTGTGGTGTGGCGAGGCCCAAACTCTCTGAGGATCCCAATGAGCACGACTTCGCTTCCTGGCGGTGCTTCCTTGGGCCAGCCCTTGGTGCCTCCTTCCACTACTCTCTCGACAAGCACAAAAGACAAACATCACGGCAGTGTATTTTTCCATGTTCTAGCCGAAGATTCACTCTCGTTTTGCATGTGTAGAGTAGTGGAGCGAGGCCGCTTGGCACGAAAGAAAGCGAAAATCAGGGCTCACGCCGTTTTGTTTTGAAATGCCTACAGCTGTGGGGTTTCCCCAGGACTGTCTGTAGGTCTGCGCCCTTTTTTTTTTCTTTTTTTGATTTTTTTAAGCCCAGGTGGTTGTAGAGGCTGGATTCTGTACGTATGACAGTCACCTTTGACACTTGGCCATGTGGTTTATAGTGGATAGAGGGTCCCGGAGACTCCCTCCCGAGTCCCAACCCTCCACTCTCCACCCTACGTCTACCACCCTACTCAGTGGCTACCGTCTTCCCCCGAACATAACGCACCCTGATAATGAATGTATACAGACTATCTTTCCGTCCCGATGCAGTGAAAATGATGGTGCGTTGTGTTCGGGGGAAGACAGGCCATTCAGGACTATACTATCGCCCATGCAGGGGCGACCTTGACCGTCCCACAGTTCCAGGTACCAGGGCTAAGCAGAGTCCCACTTACCCTACTGGGCCCTAATCAAAGCATATTTGTAGCTGGGCTCCTGTCGATTGTCGGGGAGTGGAAAAATAAAAGAAGAAGAAGAACTGCTATCAACCGGGGCAGAGTGGTCGTTCAACAACGGACTACTACCAAAAACGTTTTTCACAGCACTTTTGAGGATTGACGAAGACAAGCTGTTGTCATTACAATCGCTCATCTGTTTAAAACAATCAATTCAAATGTGCAAAGGGACGCTGGACGCGCTTTCGAGCAGGTGCTGCTCCCCACCAATATATGGAGGTTTGCTGGTGATGCTAGTGGTGTCTGCTCTTACCAGCACCCAGACTACCGTCTTCACCCGAATACCGAAAATAACGCCCGGGTGGTATATTCAACTTACCCTAAAAAGATGAGATTTTCGTTTTTACTCACTTGTTTTCAAATAGAGCGGCCCTTCGAATAGAACACCCGAAAAAGATGAGATTTTCGGTTTTACTCACTTTTTTTCCCAAATAGAGTGGCCCTTCGAATAGAACACCGGGGCGTTATATTCGAATAGAACGCCTGGGAGTTATATTTGAATGCTCCATGGGCAGAGTGCCTTGAAGAGGTAGTATACATGGGTTTTAAAGGGCGGGGAAGGGGGTATACATGAGTTTTGAAGAGGGTTGAATGGGGTTTTGACTTCCTAGGGGTATATTAGTAATATTACTATATTTTGGCTTTGGTTTTCGTTTTCTTTTTTTTATTTCCTAGTTTATAAGGAATTCTGAAGTGACCCTCGGACAAAAGTTGGTCGCATTCCAATCTTGGACAACATTTTGTTTTTAACAGTTTTTTTTTTTTTTTTTTTTTTTTTTTTTTTTTTTTTTTTTTTTTTTTTTTTTTTTTTTTTTTTTTTTTTTTTTTTTTTTTTTTTTGGAATTTTGGGCCTCACCGAAGTTGCCACAAATTTACTGAATCTAATGCCCGGGCGTTATTTTCGGGTGAAGACGGTCGCATCGGATCGGGTTGTTTGTGGTAAACAAACAAATAAACGAATAAACAAACAAACAAATAAACAAATAAACAAACAAAACAAAACAAAACAAAACAAAACAAAACAAAACAAAACAAACAATAAGGGGAAGTAACCTGTTTTGTTTTCAAAAGCGTACAGCTGTGGGGTTAGCCCAGGGCTGGCTGTGGGTCTGCTCCTTGCTACTGGGCTTTTGTCTATTGGTGGGAAGCAAAACCTGCTAAACGCCTACAGCTGTGGGCTGACCCCAGGGCTGGCTGTAGGTCTGCTCCTTGCTGCCGGGCACCTGTCTATTGGTGGGGAGCAAAATCTGCTACCGTCTTCACCCGAATAGAATGCCCAATCATTATAGCTGCATTTGGGCCAACTTTCAGTCCAGATGCAGCGATTGTGGCTGGGCGTTCTGCCCGGGTGGAGACAATAGCAAGGGGCGCAGAGTGGTCGGTCCTTCAACAACGGATTATTATTAAGCCACCAGTACCTTTCCCATATGTCACCCTTAGGCGATGTCGGAGGCCCGACACGAAAAGCAGGCCGCTGATGTGATTTATCAATGGCGGGCCTCCCCCACTTGGCTACT